CTGCGTTCCTCGAGCGCCTGTCATAGAGATGGGGGTATTTACTGATAAATGGGGAGGTGCAGGAAGATGTGGGCAAATTCTAGAGTTTACCAGTATTTGAATAATGGTGATCCATTGTGATCAGCTCAGCAATATTAATAAACTGACAGGTTTCCGTTTAAAATCCCAGGCTCCACCTCCAGCGGCAGGTGAGATATCCCTCACCAACCATCTTGGTAGGGTACTCCACCTTCTGCTGGAAAATCAAGACTATCTGCTTTGGGAACTTAAAAACAGCAATGTGCATGACCATTCTGAAGTGTTGGTCAAGATGCAGGAGGTCAGCTTAGTCTAGCTTAAAGCAGAATTTTGTCCTGGGGACTTCCCTGTGGACTTCTGGCCAGTCACATGTCAGCTTTGTGTCTTCCCTTTGCAGTAGTGGTGGACATTCCTCACTAGCGGAGAAAGCAGCACCAAAATTATGGTGCCAGTGCAGCTCTCTACAGCATTGTACTGTGAACACCCCCAGGGAGTGTGTCCATGATAGTGCGGGTTCACAGTAGTGGTTACAAGGTGAACAGCGGTAAATATTAAGGACTAACAAGAGAACATTTGTAATGAAAGATGGTCTGGACATGATCCGGACATGGCGTGAACAAGCCCTTAGGGGTAGGTTGTTCTATACATTTCAAATGTATTTTTTTTTCTTGACTTTAGGGCAGGTTCACACCATTTTCAGGACCAGATCTGGTCCGGAAAATAGATGGGAACCTGCCCGCAGTTCCAGTACATTCCAGACCAGGTGCAGTATTTTTCTGGTCTGGTCTGGAACGGACTGCACTGGTGGAAACAGAGGCCAGAAATAGCACAGGGATACATAAGGATGCATGTTGGGTCCAGAAACAATCTGGTCTAGAGATGATCTGGATGTTGTGAATGGGCCCTTAACCGTAGAGAGTTGTGGGTTGTAACGCCAGATTTGTAAATACAACTCTTAGGCAGCCCATGGATTTTTGCGGCAGGAATCCTAGGTGGGTTTGTATGGATGCAACCACTCTGCCCGTTCAAGTGCATGATAGGATGACAGCGGCTGCGTCTGTCCCTGGCTGTCCACGTGTCCTGCAGCTCATAGCCTTATGTGCATGAGGCCATAAGATGGGACAATGTTTGTGAGTTGCCCGAGGATGTTTCCAAATGATGAAAATCTTACAATTATGAGACTGGAGGTTACAAAAAAAGGGATGTTTAAATGTGCTCCTTTTTTTAATCATATGTTGGGAGGTGTTTACTAGAGTAGAGATCTATAAGTGGCGTACTTTTGATTTATATCTGTACATGTTAGTATACAGAAGAGGTGGCTCAGGAAGTGATTGGACAGCCTCATCAGTGCAGATTAACCGTAATCCCTCAGCAATGTCTATTTTATTATTGTCCTGATTATTGCTTTTATCTCTGCTCAATATTTACTCTGTACAATCAAGGAAAGTCGGCACTTTCATAAACTTCCACCGTTTCCTTTGTGCTGAAATATTCCAATACAGAGGATGTAGAAGTTTGAAGTGCACAGTGATTGTCTTTGGTCCAAGAGGTACAGAAACATGTTTACAGAGGTTGGCGGATACAAAGATCCATTGTTTCAGGAGAAGTGACCTGAATCCCTGGTCGACCCTAAGAAAACCAATGTTGCATATGGTTTGTAACCCATTTTTTATCGAGCAGATCTCACGTGAACTCCGTTTTATGGGCATATCTTATGATGTCAGGGGATGTAGACATTCTTTTTTTCATTTTTTTTAACTTCTGATATAAATGATTACAGTGGTACCTCGTTTCACAAACGCTTCTGTTCGCAAACAGGAAGCTCGGCAAAATTTTGCCTCAGTTCGCCAACTCTGCATCGGCTGATAAACATGACCGCGGCCATCTTCCCCTCGTGGCTTCCTCTAGTCGTGCACGCTTGCTATGAAGCTTTTTTGTGTGCTTTATAGCATATACAGTACTGTACAGTATTATTCAATCCAGCATGGCTCCAAAGAAAGTGCAGAGCAAGCATGGTGGTAAAAAGAAAGTGCAGAGCGGTAATGAAGGTAAAAAGAATGTGCGTTTCCGGAGGGTTATGCAGCGCAGGAAAAAACAAGTGACATTAGACAGATTTGTCTCCAAAATTGACCCGGCAGCTAAGAGATAAAGAAAAGAGGAAACTCCTGAAGGAGATCTCCCCGATGTCCTTATGGAGGGGGACTCTCCCTCCAAACAATAACCTCCTCCCCACCCTCCTTCCTCTCCTCCATGCCAGAAGTTGCCCCAGGAAAGGTTAGTGTTCACTCTCTTCATACTGTACTGTACTTGGTTTCATATTTTTGTGGTTCAATTTTTTTTCTTGCATATGGTTCAGAACGGATTAATCTCATTTACATTGAACCTTATGGGCAAATTTGATTCGGTTCGCGACCAATTCGGTTTGTGTGAGTGTAAAGGCAGGCATCCTAATACTTTTGGCAATATAGTGTATACATGAATGCAAAATCAGCTAAAAGCAGGAGATATGTAGGTCAGAAAGAGGTCAACTGCAGGACAGTAACACATGTCAATGAATTCTGAATGATCTCAGAAACATCTCAAAGTGTCACATTTATGACATCAACACAATCCCAAAGCCCATTGACATAGGCTCTTATTATTATAATGTGAACGGCCTGGTCACCACCACTGCTTGCTGCTGGTTACTGCTTGACAAAAATCTCAGTGGTGATCTTTAGAACAGGGGTGGATCTGAATGAATTGGAACTACAACCTCCTATCCTCTACAGCCAAGGAAGGTGCTAACTTAGCCTTTATCTGGGCAGCAGTTGCCATGGTGCTGCACATGCGGTCAGATATGACACCAGCCATTTGAGTGTCTGAAAGTTTGGTTGAGAGCTGAAATAAGCACACAACAACCTTGACAGTTATTACCAGAGGAATGCCTTGATGGTAACTGCCTTGGAAGAAAGTTACATTGGTGGGTCTACTTCTACTTTAATATGGAATTCAGAAGCCAGTCTGTCCAATCCAGGAGAAGAATTTGTTTTAGGAGCCAGCTCCACTGACTATCAAAAATTAAAACTATGAATGATAGGCACCAGTTGGAAATTTTAAGAAGCCATGTACATTAGTCATGTACCGTTCTCCTGGCAACCGCCACACCTGGACACGTCCATCAGATTGCCAGACAGAGAAGCGTGATTGGTCACTCCAGAGAACACGTCTCCACTTCTCTAGAGTCCAGTGGCGGCGCGCTTTACACCACGGCATCCAACGCTTTGCATTGCACTTGGTGATGCAAGGCTTGGATGCAGCTGCTCGGCCATGGAAACCCATTCCATGAAGTTCTCTACGCACTGTTGTTGTCCCAATCTGAAGGCCACACAAAGTTTGGAGGTCTGTAGCTATTGACCCATTCTTTCACAAATGTTTGTAGAAGCGTCTGCATGCCGAGGTGCTTGATTCTATATACCTGTGGCCATGGAGGTGATTGGAACACCTGAATGCAATGATTTGGAGAGGTGTCTCAATACTTTTGGCCATATAGTGTACATTCCTATTGTATGGCAATGCAAAACTCATGAACAAAAGCCCAGTGATACATGTCGTATAAGAAGTTAAACTTTTACACATTTACCAATATTAAAAGATGAAACAATGTAGAGCGCACTGTAATTCAGACTTTAACCCCTTCGTGACTGACGACGTACAGTGTACGCCGCCAGCATCGGGGCTGTTTAAACAGACTCCCGGCGGCTATTGCTGCCGGGACTCTGTTTAAACTTGTAAAGCCGACTGTCGGCTTTACAACAGAAGCAATTCTGGCGACTTACCTTGGTGTCCGCGGGGAGCTGGGGAGGAGGTCGACGAACTTCCGTTCATCGATCCCCTCCCCGTTCTATGGGACCGGGAGCGATGCAGATTGCATCACTTCCGGTACCTGGGCTGTCAGTTCTGGGCTTCTGCAGCCCAGCTATAAGCTATTGAAGTGCGAATTATTTCCAGTGTAAAGGTGACACTGGGGGTCTTTTGGACCCCCAGCATCACCTTAAAGAGTACCTGTCACCACCATCTGCTATCACATGGGGGGGCTTGTAAGCCCCCCCATGTGATAGCAGTCAAAGTAAAGTAAAAAAAAAAAAAAAACAGTTTTTAAAATTAAAATGAAATAAAATAAATCTAATAATAATAATAAAAAAATTTAAAGTCCCCCGCCCCCGCGAGCACGCGCGTCGCCACGTAAACACGCGTCGGGTGCGCCTACGCATGAAAACGACGAACGCGCTACACATGTTGGGTATCGCCGCGCACGCCGGAGTGAGAGCAATAATTCTAGGGCCAGTATTTTGGGGTATCTCTAAATTGATGACCTGTGGGGGCTTTTAAAGCGTCTTCTATGGACTTTTTGGGGTACTGCAGTTTTTCACCGTTTCACGGACGCACGCAATTTGTAACCTGGGCATGTTGGGTATCGTTTTACTCGTTGTAACCTCATCTTTTATATTTCATTAAACAAATGGGTGTTTTGTTGTGTTTTTGGGGCATTTAATTACATTTTTCACTAAATGTGGGATTTTAATAAGGAGTTGCGCCAATATTGCGCAACATAAAAATTTGCAACTACCACCATTTTATTCTATAGGGTCCTGGCATTCAGAAAATATATAATGTTTGGGGGTTTTAAGTCATTTTCAGGCCTAAAATGTGGAATATAACATGGGTGCAAAAAATGGAAAAAAGGCCTCAGTCATGAAGGGGTTAAAACCTGTTTGAGAAGCACTTGTGAACGTGATTGAAAAGAACATGGAGACATAGGCTTGGGGATCACTGGCCTACGCAAACCTATAGAGGGGTGTAGATAGACTTCACTACACGACTATATAAAACAGTCATTGGAAAGAAGGTTTATTTATGTTTAGTATCTGTTTTAAACATGGGTTTAATGGGCTTGTATGAGCATGTGACAGGTTTTCTTTAATTGTAGTTCTCTATTACAGGAAACTTTTGGGGAAATTTTACTTCTGGACTCCAGGGTTTGGAGCGGCTTTACCGGCTTCCTATGTTGCTATTCTTATCGAAAGAAAAAGCAGGTGAGTCTTTAGCTTTAAAATATTCTGTAAATAATAAAAGGGGCTTCTGTATAAAGATGGGCTAACATGAACATTTCTGGCTGCCTTTAGGCCCCATCCACACTTGTAAATGGGGCCCATCGCATAAGCCTCATGAATCGTGAGACTCTGGGGTGGACAGAAGGCATTGTACAATACAGTGACGGCTGCCATTGCCCACAGCCTGCTCGCATGTAGTCGCTCAGGCTTTGATAACCTGTGGACAACCACACCTGGACACAAACAGTCTGCGGGTAATCATAGACTGTGCAATTATATGTGAACAGGCTGCAGGCAGTGGCAGCTGTCCTTGTATTGTATAGCGCCTCCTGCCCACAGCATATTGCATGAGTCTCATGGAGGAATGCTTGAGAGCTATGCAAATGGCCCCATGTTAACTAAGTGCTGATTTACTAGTTCTCCCTTTACTTCCTCGAGCTCTGGCACATGTGACTAGGACATGTGACCATGCACATCATCTTAGGGGAGGAAAATGCCTTTCCCTGAGATCCTGTGAGATTACAGATGAGATTTTGCAGGAATGATCTGCTGATATTTCCTTCCCAGGATGCAACACTTGGGCACGTGACATAATTTGTGCCAAAACAAGATGAGGAAGTAGTTGAACTCTATTTGTAAGGAAATGTAAAAAATGTTTGTTCAACTAATGAATATAAGATGATTTTAAATCAGCATACAGAGATGCATGCTGATGTGATTTTTAGTGAAAGGGGGCAAAGGTCCACATTAAAGTGTACCTGGAGGCATATGTGTTCTAGTTTTGGATAGAATAGTGAGGGGTTAGAACCCCCATCAGGTTTTGTTTGAGGTCTGTGTCCCTGCTGTGGAGAATTGCCCTCTCTATTTGTCCTGGTTACCATTGTCACGGGAAAGAAAGTTAGAGAAAAGTTTGAGTTGCCACCTGATTAGACATAGAGGGACAGTTTTCCAATGGGGCCACTTGTTCCTGTAGCAACAATCTAAGAAGACATTTCCCTTTGAGACATTTCTCCTCATGACCTGTTGTGTGTACAGCACGGGTAGTGAAGGCAAATCTCCCCAGTGGGACACAGATGGCAAACCAAAAAAATACAGGCAGGAGTCTCAACCATTCACTACTCTATCCAAAAGAAAACAAGCTTTGGCTTTAAGTATTCTTTAATTGTAAGTGGTGTTTGGGCTGTTTAAATTCCGGGACTGGATAGTCATAAATAAAATATGTTTCCTCTTCTCCTGGAGTTCAGCTGCAGAAAGCATGGAAGCCCGGCCTTGTGGATGCCACCAAGAATTAGGTGTCCCTAGAACAACCCTAGAGAGGCCTTCTTTGCTCCGGCAATGTCAGGATGATACGTTTTTGATGTATATATCGTACTTCTAGCAATTCCTCTGGGGTCAGTGCCGGCCATGTAACATACAATGCCGGTTATGTGTATAGGAGGATAGTTGGCACTGCTCCATTGGGGCCGTGACAACAGCCAGTGATAGAATGTGAAGACTTAACAGGTGCTCGATGCGATGTGGGAGCGTTGTCTCAAATAGCCGAGAGGAGCTCGCTCAGCATTTCCCATCTCTTCCCATGCATGGGGTGTTTCTTTCCGAGAGAATCAGATCACTTGAGAGGGACATCTGTCCCCCGTAACCACGTCTTGCCTGGTAGCATCTGCCACTCCACCGCCAGCTGTAATTAATAGTAAGCTATTTATTGCTGGTGGATCTGCATGTGTTAATTTGCCCTCATAAGAGCCATTATCTGGGGTGCATCTGCTGCGAAATCCTAAAAGAGTCTTTTAAAGGACTCACCAGCACTATGGTATTTGGATCAGCACTATGGTATTTGGACCAGGACTATGGTATTTGGATCAGCACTATGGTATTTGGACGTGTCCAAAGGGATATTGCAATGAAATTATATCTTATAGAACAATGATTCATGCATTCCAACATGCCACATTGTTTAGACCTGGGGGTGTCCCCAACCTTGTCATGCTTATTCCTCTGTACCTCACTACCCACTATGTGAACGCTATGTCACCATTGGGGTTCCAAAGTGGATTTTTGTGTTAAAACAGTCCTCCAACCTAAATGGTTTCTGTCCCATCTTCTTCTGCCTCTGGTGCTTGGTGAAAAACTCTGCCACTGTTTACTTTTCACCCTCTCCTCTTCAATTGTTCTTAGAAGGGCATTGTAGCACGTACACTTCCTGTCCTGCGCTACACCCAACCTCCCACAAGACCGACTGACTGACTGTGTACAGATACGGCATACCAAATGGAGCAGATCACTTCTATTTAAAGGAGAACTATGGGGTTAGGGCTTTTCCCCATAGTTCTCCTTAGGGTAACGGGAGGACACAAACTAGCGTCCTCCCGTCACACTAGGCTCAGTATAACGCGAGCTATAGCTCGCGGTATACTGAGACGCCGCAGTATACTGCAAGCTCCTGCTCGCGGTATACTAAGACGCCAAAACTGAAGCGGATCCCAACAATTATGTCTGGATCCGCCCAGCTGCGTGACTGACAGCTGGCTCTGCCTATCCAGAGGCAGAGCCAGCTATACCCGCCCCCTCCCCTGTCCGTTCCGCCAGTCAGCGCTATCGGAGCGGGAGGGCAGCAGGGCGCAGAGGGGCGACAACGGTGTCCTTGTGGGGAAGTTGCGGGCGCCGGTCGGTAAGTTGTCCTCTCCTACATTTAGTCCTGCTTTGCACACGCAGGACTTAATGTAGAGTGAGGCAGCCGATTGTTCGTTTACATGTCATCTCTGCGATGTCGCCAAGATGACACGTAAAAAGTCTGCAGCCGGCCGGTCCGTCCTCCCCTCCCCCCTGCACTTACCTCTCTCCTCTGGTTCCGGGCTCCGCCGCCGAGTCTCTCCTCACTGCAGGGAGCAGAGCGGCAGGGTTAAAAGTAACCCTGCCGCTCCATGTAGACAGAGAGAGGGGAGAGCTGTGCTCCTTCTCTCTCACCTGTCGCAGGAATTCCAGCACAGTGCTGTGCTAGAACTCCTGTATTGGAGGTGACAGGGTCAATAAAGAGAACCTGTCACCTCCAATTGCTATCACACAGAGGATTGTTATCTCCTGTGTGATAGCAATAAAGTTAGGTGGACATTTTTTTTTTAATTGATTAAAAAAAATAAAAAAATAATATGAAATAAATAAATAAAAAGGTGATTAAAAAGTAAAAAATAATAAGAAACAAATTCATAAAAAAATAAGAAAATAATTATAAAAAATAAACAATAATAAGATAAAACAATTATAAAAAAGTAAAGATAAATAAAAAAAAATTAAATTGATAAAAAAATAATGGAATAAATAAAAATGAAAAATAAATAAGCACAAATAATTAAATAAAAAAATAAAAAGTGATAAAAAAGTGAAAAAAAATAAAGAAACAGTAAAAAAAATTTGAAACTAACGGCGCCCTGCAATCTGGTTGCCATTCTCCATTGATGGGGAGGCGGGGGGCGTATTGTGGAACCTGGCCTTGGGGCGGCAGGGGGAGAAAATACGGCCCCCCTCCAGAAGGAAGGACAGTGTCAGCACCAATTCAGAGATGATTGGAGGATCTACAGCCGAGTGATACACAAATAAGATACATTTTTTTTAATAGTTAAGGTACTTGAATGCATTTTTAAGGTTTAACTGAGTTCAGTGTCACTTTAACCCTCGCTCCATTCTTCTAATAAAAACTCCACCCAGCTACTTACCTCTGTAGGACAACTATGTTCCGTTCCTCTTCTCAACCCTCTCCAGGCCTAAATAGTCTTCAGCAGGGCCGCACTTGTGCAGCGAGTCCTCATTGACTTGAAGAGGGCCCTTTTCTAAAGGTTTCCAGACTTGAAATTTGGCTGTAGACATTCCCTGGATGACTTTATCACCCGCTTTAGAGGGACCCAACTGTCGGTGGTTTCTCTTCAAAGGTTCTAAAATGTTCTTTTCATTTGAAGCTATAGAAACGTTTTTGTTAATCCTAGAGCCCTGCTTTAGATTTTGGGGCCATCATTGCAGTTCACTGTCTGTTTTTATCATCTCCCCTCATGGAGCCCGCTCTCTTCCTCTGTTTATTTGTCACTGTCATCACTAATTATTATTTCTTGTCCTGTAGCGTCTCTGTCATCTCCTTCCTGGCTTTGTTCTGCTCACTTTCTATTCTGTTACCCTCTTCAGTCTCATTTCTCTTCTCTGGTCTGATATCTTCTTCCTCCCATGGATCTCATTTGTTATTCTCTCACCCAGTTAAGTTATTCTGAAGGAGCTCTTATCCCACATTGCTCTGATTTCTCCATCTGTTTGCTGATATTTTGCAGTTTTGGCTCATAAAATTTAGTGCCGTGTGCCTGTATGCGGCCTGTGCTGTCTTTTATCGAATAGCCCCTTAACCACTTGCTGACCGGGGTGTTAAACCTCCTTCCCATCCAGGCCATTTTCAGTGTTCAGCGCTGCGGTATTTTGACTGACATTTATTCCTTCATGCAGCGCTGTACTGAAATACATTTTATACCATGTTTTGGGGACACATAGAGCTTTCTTTTGGTGGTATTTAATCACCACTGCGGGTTTTTATTTTTTTACTATATAACAAAAAAGCACCCTAAATTTTTTAAAAAAAACCCTGTTTCCCTATGAAATGTTATGAAATATTTATTATCACCCCAATTTTTGGATAAAATATAAAAGATGGGGTCACGTCGGGTAAATAGATCCATGAACCCATCGCACTCCTGACCGCTTGTCTCCAGAGAAAAATCAGATGGGTGCCATGGTGATCGACGGACGGCAATCGTCATATAACAGCAGAAAACAGGGACACCGGCACTCCAACGTAAGCGTAAATGCAAAAGTCCTTTTTATTGAAGAGAATACGACATGTCACACAAATGCGACAACCATTTCGGGGTCACACAGGATCCCCTTGCTCAAGCAATGACAGTCATTGTTTTTTATTTGTGACTATTTGTTGTAGCTTCTTTATTTTTTTT